TTGATTTGGTCTTCCAGTAAAACTGCACGACCTTTGCTTTTTGTTCCTTACTCAAAGGCGACATGATTAACAGTGTTCTCACCTACTTCAAATAAATTTACATTGCACGTGCTTACTTTCACAGCAAACAAAACGTGTTTTTGTCGTACCATGCGCTTTGAATTTGAAAATGAAATGTGGGACACTTTTTTGAATCACCCGGTACGTTCGCGGCTGGAAAAACACCAATACGGGCGAGGGTTAACCCGCGCGGGGCTGGGGTCTTCAGCCGAACGCGCGGGGCTGGGGGTGTAAATTTTACCCCCCCCCCTGTTATCTCCCGAACTAATGGTCCGATTTGGAAAATTCAAACGCCAATCGAAAGGTCTCATCACGAACAACTAAAAACATGTACTTAATTCAAAGTTTGAGGTCAAGGTCAAGGTCAGGTCAAGGGTACAAATTGAAAGTTTCTACAGTATCGGCCTTGCACCGTAGTTGCCGAAGAATGGAGTCATGGACAGAGACTGATTGCCCAAAACGTGTTCTTAGGCTACCAAGACAATATTCCTTGCATACAATATTATTCAGAGGTCAAGGTCAAGGTCAGGTCAGGTGAGGTCAAATGTTGAAGTTGGTTGTTAAGGCCTAAAAAGGTGTCTATCTGATGCAGTTTTTCACGGCAAATCGAATGGTGCTATTTTTGTTTCCGTACGAGGTCTAGAACTTCCAAAAAAAATCATTTTTTTTCAAAAAAAAATGTTTGTCGTGACGTCATAAAATTTTTAATAACTCCCACATTTTTGAACCGATTCTTCTAAAAATTAGTATGTAGGTACACATGGACCACTTCTCTGACATATATTCCGGTTTTTTCGATACACGCAAAATATTGGATTTTATAATTATTTTCCAAAAAAGTCAGTTTTTTTTTTTGAAAAAAATGGGTCAAAATCAAACATTTTCAAAAAACCGAGATAGCCATTTGATAGACAAAGTAGAATCCAGAGGTCGATAAAATGCTTGGAGTTGCTCCAACGAACATCTTAGTCCCATCACTGTCTCCAACTTAGCCCTCACCTGGCGGGAGGGGGGATGCAGCCTCCATAAGTTTTTTTTTCGCGAATAGCGTAAAAGGTGGTGTCGCGTAGCGCCGCAAAATTTGGCACAACGTCTGGGAATGAGCCTCTTGCGACATATCCTGAAAATTTCAGGTGCCAGTCATTTCAGGACCTGGACTATGACTATGAAAAGTACGACCAGTATTGGTACTCACACCTTTCCTTTGAATTAGACGGATAAACAGGCGCCATGCCTATAAATTTGCCCAAGCAAATGATATGCTAGATGAACAATGCATGCACAAATGTCTAATCACTGCCAATTGCCGCGTCGGCACACCGGCATCTCCTCACCTTCTCCCCACACGGCCTTGACTCCCCAACTCACACCATCACACTACTGCATACGGTGACCGGTCACACGGTGGATCTGAATGCCTACGTTTTCATGCCAAAGTCTGAAACAACTAACGATTATCATCAGCGTAGAAATGTTGAAATTTAGCATTTTAAAGCTTTTAACTTAAAACTTTATAAGTGTGTTTTAACGCACTTGTCCTTATTGATTGAGAAAAGAGCGCACTTTTGATCGTATTACCATATACGAAGTAACGCAATCGAAGTGTGATTCCGGTCCACTGTGCGTTTTCAGGCGCGCTCGATAAAACACCCAGGCCTGGAGAAAGTTGGGTGATTTTCTGATCCTCTTTACCACAAAATGACCCTAAGCGAAAAAATGCCCGCGGGGCGCTGCCAACGCGTGCCAGCGGCCCTGCTAGTAAGGGCGAAAATCAATGCATGTGTATGCGGAGCACACCCTTAGCGCTACGATGGCTCCTTGGAGACACCTGGAGAAACCTCTGCCGGCAGAAGGGTCAGGTCCCTCGCAGACGGCGCGGCACGGCGAAAGCTTAGCGGGTGGCCTAGCCGGAAAGAGGATAAAAATAGCCGACTGGCCCGACCCAGCGAGGGGTGAGCGAAGGGTGACCAGGAGTGAATGAGGGAACATACACGCGGTACCGAGCAGCCGATAACAGCACCGGACGATTAGAAAGTCATAAGTCAATGCTGTATTTTAGGCGTAAGGAAGCATCCATGTAGACGGGCGGACTGTCTCCAGCTCTTCCAAGTATTGCTAATATCTTGCTCCAACGAGCGTTGGCACGTTGGAAGTTTTATCGACCACTGGTAGAATCACGTGTAACGTTTTTTGTTACGTCTTGATTTCCTTAAAAATGAAGATGTTAGCGGCGTTTGAAATTTTGCCTTTTTTGAGGCGAAAATGGCGAACATGACGTCACTAAAACGTCATTTTCTCATAAATGTCCGAGGGATTTCGCTCAAATTTTCAGGGAACGTGTAAAATTGATGTAAGAAAAGGTACTGAAAGTTTGGCGGCGCTGCGCGCCGCCGTTGTTGAGATATTGCAAAAATTCGCGAGGGGGGGGGGGGGTAAAATTTACCCCCCAGCCCCGCGCGGGTTAAGTGGTCAAACACCACTCAGGGGGGGGGGGTTAGCCCCCCCAGCAGGGTGCGGGCTAAAATAGCTATTATACCTATTCGCTTTTACTGGGCTCTTTGGTCATATTTTTTCCCAGTGTTACGCGCAAATTTGTCGAAAATTGGTATTGTAGGCGTTATTTGAGCTTCATGACCTCTAGTGGCATGACCCTTTGCCGCTTCCATGACAAAATATCGAAACGCAAAATATCGAAGCGCAAAATATCGAACGCAAATTATCGAAAGCAAAATATCGAAGTCGCAAATTATCGAAATTGCCAAATATCGAAATCGCAAAATATCGAATTGCAAAATATCGAAATCGCAAAATATCGATTTCGCAAAATATCGAATCGCAAAATATTGATTTGCAAAATATCGAAATCGCAAAATATCGAATAGCATAATATCGAAAGCAAAATATCGAAACGCAAACTATCGAAACGCAAAATATCGAAACGCAAAACATCGAAAGACAAAATATCGAAAGACAAAATATTGAAAGACAAAATATCGAAAGACAAAATATCGAAAGACAAAATATTGAAAGACAAAATATCGAAAGACAAAATATCGAAAGGCAAAATATCGAACGCAGAATATCGAAAAGACAAAATATCGAGCGCAAAATATCGAAAAGGCAAAATATCGAACGCAAAATATCGAAAAGGCAAAATATTGAACGCAAAATATCGACAAGACAAAATAACGAACGCAAAGTGTCGAAAAGGTAAAATATCGACTTGAAATGGCCCTCTGCGGATTCCTTAGATCTCTGTCGAACTCATCGGGCCCTCTGTTATATGTAGGCCTCAAAGAGCAATCAGCGGGTCCATGACAGACTTGGAAAACTCTGATATTGTTTTGTAGATCTCAGCAGTGGCGGCGGAAGGTAATTTCGGATGGGGGTGCAAAGTTTTCTCAAAAGGCCCCTCTGAAAGTTTCGCCCCCCCCCCCCCCCCGATGTTTTAGAGTGATTATCATTGCTTTATGAAAAACGAAGATTTTGGAAAACTATCCCCAAACACACAAGTTCTGCAAAATATTTGAAATTACAGTGTACCTAACTCAAATAAAGCATAACGAAGCAGATGCAGATAGTTTTTATCATCTAATCTTGTTTTAGTCTAGCCACCACCCTCAGCATCTCAACCCACTTTTCTGGATCCGCAGTGGACCATTAAGGGCCCTACGAGACCGTTCTTAGAAGACCGTGTTTAAAAGCCCCTTGGAAACCGACCCCTTAGAGGCTCCTCCAGAGACCTACATGACTCCCCAGACCGAATGAGCCCTCCGACCAGGGTCGGTCCCTCAGAAGTTGCTGAAGAGTTTCAGAAAGCAGTATACTCGTAGGCTCGAAAGGCTTTTGATGGCTCTCAGAGACTGGCATCGGACCCAAAAAAGCCTGTATGGAGACCCTCCAAAGCCTGGATGGCCACCAGGAGCCGATGTTTAGCCTAAAGAGCCAGTATGGAGGACTGAATAGAGGAAAGGACTAGGAGTCTCAGTGGGGCCTTCAGGAGCAAGCGTTTGGGCCCCAAAAGTATGTGTGGGGTCTTAGAGGCAGGTAGGCCCCTAGAGCGTGCACGGGATGGGACCCCGTGCGCTAGCGAGGTGGGAGCTAGCGTGTGAGCCCAAATATTCGACTGGCGGCTACTAGAACCTGCATGGGGATTCTTAGAAGCCGCTTAGACCCATATATAATGAGTCATGAGTCCCAAGAGTCGATGTAGGGGCCCTAAAAGCCGGTGTAGGGCCCATGGCCCCATAAGTTCCGGCGTTGGGACTCTCAGAGGCCGGCGGAAGGGGAACCAAGAGCGGATAAAGTGATTCAACAAGCCGACATTTGGCCTGAGAATCAGTGTGGAATTCTAGGAGTCTGCGTGAGCTCTCGGAGACCTTCGTAGGGCCCACAAAGGTCGTTCCGAGTGCCCTCTGAATCTGAACTCTGCGGAGCCCTTAGAGGCCAGCATGTCCCCTGGCACCTGCCTGCGTTGATTTGAGACCATCCGAGACCCTCCGAAAACTCTGGGTTGGATCCGCCTATGTTTGATAGCCCCGGAAGATCTGTCGAGCGAAACCTAATTTCGACAGAGTTCGACAGAGCTCTAAGGAGTCCGCAGAGGGCCATTTCAAGTCGATATTTTACCTTTTCGACGCTTTGCGTTCGTTATTTTGTCATTTCGATATTTTGCGTTCGATATTTTGCCTTTTCGATATTCTGCGTTCGATATTCTGCCTTTTCGATATTTTGCGTTTGATATTTTGTCTGTTCGATATTTTGCGTTCGATATTTTGTCTTTTCGATATTCTGCGTTCGATATTTTGTCTTTTCGATATTCTGCGTCCCATATTTTGCCTTTTCGATATTTTGTCTGTTCGATATCTTGCGTTCGATATTTTGTCTTTTCGATATTCTGCGTTCGATATTTTGCGTTTTCGATATTTTGTCTTCCGATATTTTGTCTTTCGATGTTTTGTCTTTCGATATTTTGTCTTTCAATATTTTGTCTTTCGATATTTTGCGTTTCGATATTTTGCTTTCGATATTATTCTATTCCATATTTTGCGAGTTCGATATTTTGCAATTCGATATTATGCAATTCGATATTTTGCGATGTCGATATTTTGCGGTTCGATATTTTGCGATTTCGATATTTTGCGCATTCGATATTTTGCTTTCGATATTCTGCCACTTCGATAATTTGTCTTCGATATTTTGCTATTCGATATTTTGCTTTTCGATATTTTGTCCGGAACCCCCCTTTGCCTGATATAACAATAACTGTATGGTGAAATTTGATGCGTTCGTACTACTGCGTGTCGCTACCTTTCCGAAGATGGGAGTTAGAAGGGGCATAAAACATCCCTCCTATAGCAGTCTAAGGAAAATTTAGTCCACCGGCATGTGGAGGAATTTAAGGTATTTTACATTGGTAATCCGAGCTTTATGCAGAGGGAGCAGATCCTTAAAAGTGGGAGTAGTGCAATGTGTACTGGTGCTGATCTGTGTAGCGCTTCTTCGAGATACCATCTTGGATGTGAATTGTGCAATGTGCATTTTGCATCGTGAAAATTTTACTCTACGAAATGAGGTGTTTGCTAATCGACCTTCGTTGGTGGTGCGTCGCTAATGTAAACGAAAAACAAGCAAAGATAATAATATTTTACATCACCTTGTTTCTTATCAACCTAAGTAGTTCTGCAGTGGTCCCCTGGTAGCTCTTGAAAGCCCCTTTATCCAGAGTGGCGTCGACGACTTTCTTCCATTCTTTCAGTTTGACCAGTTCTGTGACGAACGCAAGATCGAGTTCTTCATTGACAGCCTCCTTCAGCACAGGGCCATGTTCTTTGTCTTCTTTGATGCAGTCGCTGACAGCCTTAGGACAGTACAAAACGACAATTACAATCACTGACGAGGACTGTCTAGGTTTGCTGGCATAAATACTTCATTTGGTCCTTTATATACACATGTACAGGTGAAGAGGATTTCTTCAAAGGATGGCCTCTACGGGGTGTCACAAACTTTCCTTGAAGAGCAAAAGTAATCAACATTTACCTGATTGGAGTGTTTCAGATCGTTGAAAAAAGTAAACAACAACACGAGAATGTTCGTACCGGCTTATACATTAGCACGTGTCAACAAGAATAATAGTTTTTTTTTAATTTTAACCTTTATCACATACGCTGGGAATTTAATCGCAGAATTCCGATAATGAATCATGTGTTTTATATTTTGTTTTCGAGCAGTTTTTGAAATTAGTGAGCAAATTGTTGGTTATAATTTGCTACTTTTTCTGAAAACTCAGTGATCAAGATTGGATACGTGAAGAATCATTGACCTTTTCCTCGAAAATGTAAAAACAATGCCAAAAGTTATATTGAATGCGGCGAGTTTTCGGCTACAAGCCTTCGTCAAACCAACAAAATGGTAATACAAAATAAGCAAACCAACAAAATAGTATTGTCATTTTGTTGGTTAGACGAAGGCCTGTAGCCGAAAGCTCACCGCATTCAATATGATTTTTGGCATTGTATTTACATTTTCGAGGAAAAGGTCAATAATTCTTCACGTATCTATTCTCGCTATGTTCCTCGCTAAAGCACTTCACACCATTAATTTCATGTGATCAAGATTGTATTGTACAGGAGATTTTGTGCGTAATTTACAATAAGAAACACTTTAATCATGTACTTGTGTACTTACTACCCTACCAAGGATGTATTATGACTAGAGATGTCAATTGGATACCAACTTTTTGGAATACCGATACCAAACCGATACCAGCTGGGCTGGTATGGAATCGACGCGCACAGGTTCCGTGACTGGTTGTCCGACAGATGTCAGGTGGTTCGGGGTGGTGAGGAAGTGAGACCGATCACTCACGGCGTGATTCAGGGGTCGCTGCTCGGGCCGATCCTGTTTTTGATTTTCACGAATGATCTAGCATCGTACCTGGGCACAAAAACTGTTATGTACGCCGATGACGTTCAGTTTTTGCATAGAGCATCACCAAAGCACATGCCAAAACTCAAATCAGATGTAGAGAGCACTTAAGAGATCGCGAGTCACTGGTTTGTTCAAAACTGTTTGAAAATCAATCCCACCAAAACAGATCTTGTTGTTGTAAAGTCACAAAGGCGCCGACTCGACACAGAATTTACTGTTAAATTTGGTAGTGCGACGATTCGTCCATCTGTAGCGACCAAGATTCTCGGTGTGGTAGTCGACTCCGGACTGACTTTTGAATCGTATGTGACCGCGGTTATTCGCCGATGCTATGCCACACTAGGGGACTGTCCAGATCCGCTCGCAGCCTGCCGCGAAACGTGAAGCAGATGATCGTGGAGATGCTAATTTTCCCCCACATCCGATACTGTATGTCTGTGTGGTCGGGATGTGGCGTCGTGCAGCGACACCGTATACAGAAGGTGATAAACCACTGTGCACAGGTCGTCATGGGGGTCCGACGCTCGGCTCATGTGACGCCTCTGTTGGCAGAGCTATGCTGGCCCCATATAGACAGGCTGGTGGCGGAGAATGACTGCACTACTGTGCATTACTTGTTGAATAATGTTCATGCACCGAATTGCCTCTCTGAGCGGTTTGTACAACGCAGCGACGTGTCGAGCAGACAGACTCGAGCCACTGAGAATATGCAGCTCGAACTGCCGAGGGTCCGCACCGAACATGCTCGCAAGTTCTTTTATTACCGCGCCTGTGACGTTTGGAACTCGCTGCCAGAAGACATTCGGTCGTCACGCACGTCGGCCACTTGTCGCAGGCGTTGTCGACGATTACTCAATGGTGACTAGTCACTGTGCGCGTAGCTTTCGGTCATTTGTACCGATATGCATTTTACTTTTTAAGTCCCATGCTTTTCATGGTTTTTACTTTTAGCTCTAGTGTTTATTTTAGCTTTATATATGTGCCTACCTATTTACTGTATGACACTTGGACTGAAAAGCCGTGAGTGCATGGAGCTTCCAAACGAAATAAATGATGATGATGATGACCAACTTGGTATTTGGTATTTCAATCGTAATGTGTTTGGTATTTTGTTGGTATCATAAACCCTCACTAATGTATAAGAGGCTAAGAAATCGGTAAATAGTTGGTATTTCCCTCATTTTCTCAAGTTGCTTCGGTGTCGGTATTTCCCGTGGTTTTGGTTGGTATTTGGTTTGGTATCGGTATTCCGATTTTCCGTAATTGACATCACTAATTATGACCCTTGTTTGCCCCAAAAGGCGTGTTCCTTGAAATAGGTGATTTTTTGTTGTTGTTGTTTTTTTTTTAATCGTTTGGATGGTAGGCATGAGTGAAGAAATGACAGTCGGATTTGAAAATGATCAATAACATGCCAAAAATTGTACAGGCTCTTTTAATTTATCAAATAGCAATAAAACAGACAAGCATTCGATGATAATGGCAATGTTGTCGAAAGATTGTTGTTATATTGCTATTTAGTAAACTAAAATAACTAATACAATGTTGGCATGTTATTGATCATTTTCACATCAATTTTAACTATTAGGTGAATACTGAATAAGGTAAAGTTATTCTTACCTGGAAAAACTTTTCCGTTCGCTCTGATGTCCACAAAGCCGGATGGTTGATCACGTAGGTACTCGATGGTCTTTCTGTTGGATCTAACTGTATCATTTCTTCTATCAGATGCCTTGTCGCTACGCTCACTGATTTGGGATCTTCGATGTTCGCGAGGCTGAAAATGCAAGGATTAGAACACAAATGTTAGAAATGTTATGAAAAGATTAGCAGCACTGGATTAAGTTAAGCTAAAGAGAACACTTCTTAAACCGAAAACCATTTTTCGCATTTGATTCCACCTTATACCTACATATAGTATGCATTGACGAAACCAGCAGCTGGTAAATTTTCTCAAAAATTCATTTGCCAACACTGATAGGTATCTTTATACAATCAATACATATGACTAAACGCTGAAATTATAATACCTTGTTACATGTTACATGTTACTAAACGGTAGTGCGATTCCTTCTGACATTGGAATCTTAGCCCTCGCCCGTATTGGTGTTTTCCAGCCACGAACGTATAAGGGGGGGGGGGTCCATTGGACCCCCCTTGCCGTTTCGCCCCAGCTAGAGCTTCGCAGAAAGAACGAGCGTGTTGTCCGTGACGAGAGGAAGCCGATGATACCCAATATAAAGGTCCTAGGTCATCGGTTGACCTTCCAGGTCAGGTCAATGACCCAAAAGTCAGGAAAATCGGGACCTGTTAGAACGTCGTAAAACGTTGCTGCTATGGGGTTTTTCGGGGTGCTGATTACGAATGTCATGTCAGTTATGATCATACATGATGTCTGCATGCATTTAGGCCAGGTCGGGTCAGGTCAGGTCAGGTCAACCAGAAAGGATTTTGCCGGGTATTCGTAGTAGGTGGCAACCGCCTCTGACAGCTTCGTAACATGTTACGAAGACACCAAAACTACTTCGTAAATTGTCAAATGATTGCTAAATTCGAATTCAGCTCCAAAAACTAGCCTAGAAACATGTAAATCTCGAAAAAGCGGACCGAGGTCATCAAAGGTCAATGAACTGACCTGACCTTCCGGTGCCCTTGACACCCACCCTTATGCATGAGAGCATGGTGTGTCAAAAGTGGAAATAGCCGGTGCGCCGTCTGGCAACCCGGCAGCCCGCCGCCATAGGGAAATTCATGCTTTTTGTCGCTTTTTCGCTCCCTATGAGTCACTTGATCTAATTAGAGCTTAACTATAGTTAGTTTTTTCTAAGTTCGACCCTCACTGTAAACATCTTTTTGAACATAGCACGAGAATTGCTAGCAGAATTACTAAGAAGACTGGTTAGCGCACATTGTACTGCAGACATGAATAATATTTTCCAAATAAGTTTTAAACACCGATGATAAACCGTTCTGTTAAACGCCGTACGATCTATTGATAAGTTCAGTTATAATTTCTGACAAGATGTCTATCCCAATGGGGTTGTATAGAAAGGTAACTACGGGCTAGGAGTCTGGGAAATAAGAGCCAGGAAGAAATAATTTTGAGCAAAATTAATCGCCTGTGAAATCAATGTGAGCCAGCCAGTTTTCTAAGAATTCAGCTAGCAATTCTCGTGCTGTGTTCAAAGAGACGATTACAGTGAGGGCCGAACTTAAGAAAAACCAAGGCCCTAAATACAAGGTTGCACGGACTAATTTCTACTAAACCTACCAGAATATAGTTTCACGGTAGGATATTTTAATAACTATTCAATCAAAACTTCTTTATTATTTTCTCGTTATCATTTATAAGCAATTTTATCAATTGACTTTCAATTTGCTTGCCTTTTACTGGCAAAATAACTTTCTAGTATTGGGTCAACATTGTTGTGTAGCAGTAGGAACCATATCTGGCAAAACCCCAATACCTACATACAGCAGAAAAGGAGCCACCAGGTGTCGCCACAGTCGCCACTTGGTCGCCACACAGATGTCGCGCGCGTCGCCAATCGCCACACTACCGATTTCCATAAGGACGCATATGTACGGATATGTATAGGAAAGTCGCCCTTAAGGATTACGCTTACATCCTTTGCTTATGAGGTCGGTGGTTGGAAATTGGGAGGGGCTCAGCTATTTTCGACCACGGATATGGCTTTATCACATGATGAGGAACATGCTGATAAGTGTTTTATGTGTCATAACAGCACAAAAGTATTTTAATCATTTTTCAAAAATAGCCGTTCTGCCGTATCTTTCAGTGCAAGGTGCCGTCGGTCATCCCCGACGTTACGTCACGCCGGGGATTGCCAGATTTTCCTACTAGACTTCGACGCCCCCTGAGAAAAACGAACTATAGGAACGAGGCGGGTCACTTGGACGTATTCGGGAGCCGAATACGGTGTTTTGGAGCCAATACCTGGGAAACCCTACCCGCCCAATGCGAGTTTTTAAGAGTCTGCATGCCCAAATTAACGTTGAGCGCGGCCGTTTTCGGTCGGTTTTCCCCGACCTTGTGGCGAAATCGCCTTATTTATTCAACCAGGGTGGGCTAATTCGCTTAACTAGGAATGAGGCGTTGAAGAGAATTATTCAAGGAAAAGAGCTGTGCAAAAATATTTTTTGTATTGTTAACCCTCGCATGTGTAGGGGGGGGGGGGGTCGGATGGACCCCCCCCCATGGTTTTTCGCGAATAACTCGCGTAAAAAGCGGCCGATCGCGACGAAACTTTCAGTACCCTCGCATTGATCAATTTTACACCTACCCTGAAAATTTCATGACCCTAACCCAAATGACCTTTGACCTGTGACCTCTTTTCCGAGACCATGTTTGGCCGGAATCGCGATTTCGCGTATGTCGGCTCGCACTAGCCGCGTGTTTGCAAGCTTTTCGTGGTTTCAAACGTTCAAACATGTGATTTGATGTTACTCCCGTGTGTGTCAAGGTCACCTGAAGGTCAGGTCAGGTCATTGACCTTTGGTGACCTCGGGTGACCTCGGTTCACTTTTTCGAGTTTTACATGTTTCTAGGCTAGTTTTTGGAGCTGAATTCGAATTTAGCAACCATTTGAACATTTACGAAGTAGTTTTGGTGACTTCGTAACATGTTACGAAGCTGTCAGAGGCGGTTGACACGTACTACGAATACCCGTCACGACGCCTACTGGTTGACCTGACCTGACCTGACCCGACCTGGTCTAAATGCTTCAAGACATCATCTGTGATCAAAACTAACACGATATTCGTGATCAGCACCCCGAAAAACCCCTTAGCAGCCACCCTTTACGACTTTCTAACAGGTCCTGATTTTCCCGACTTTGGGTCATTGACCTGACCTGGAAGGTCAACCAATGACCTAGGACCTTAAAATTGGGTATCATTGGCTTCCTCTCGTCACGGGCAACACGCTCGTTTTTTCCGAGAAGCTCTAGCTCGATCAGGGGCCAAACGGCAAGGGGGGGGTCCAACCGACCCCCCCCCCCTACACATTAGAAGCTGGCAAACGCCGCACACATGCGAGGGTTAAAACTGTATCCGCCCTCGAACGATAAATATTGTTGACCCATCAGAAACACATCACCTGGAATGGGTTTGGACTTGGCTGGATCTAATATTAGCGAGTATCTGCTAATGCAGTTTCTTGGCTTACATAGTACGCACACAAGCATCCATACTTCCTGCCCTTGGTTATTCCTCACTTGAATGAAAATTTTGCTATAATAACTATTCCAAGCAGTTAATAGGTTTTAGTGCAGTGCCAATTCGGAACCGTTCAGCGCCGCCAGTCTCCCAGGCGGCGCGTAACGGCTGCCGCCGGCCGCCGCGCCGCCGCTCTGGCAGGGTGTTTGACTTCATATCTCTGTTGCTAGAAAAGTTGTGGACCGATTTACTTGATTCTTGCATGAAAAGATTCGCAATTCAATTCTTAGCAGATAACGAAAATTTGATGTCAATTGCACGATCCGCTGCCCATATTGTGGTACTGCCATCTATTGACAAGGCTGGCGAACTAAAGCCGGGCGGCTATTTCCACTTTTGACACACCATGGCAACATCATATCCCGTGTTTGAGCGCTTGAAACCACGAAATGACTGCAAATGCGCGGCTAATGCGAGCCGACATACGCCGAATCGCGATTCAGGCCAAATATGGTCTCGAAAAGTAGGTCACAGGTCAAAGGTCATTGGGGTCAGGGTCATGAAATTCTTAGGGTAGGTGTACAATTGATTAACCCGCGCGGGGCTGGGGGGTAAATTTTACCCCCTCGCTAATTTTTGCAATATCTCAAAAACGGCGGCGCGCAGCGCCGCCAAACTTTAACCCGCGCCCTGGTGTGGGTCTGAGCCACCTTCGCCCTGGTGGGGGGGGGCCAAAATGACCCCCTCGTCTAACTCGAAAACGAAGAGGGCTAGGAAGACGCGGAAAAAAGCAAACGAAAGCCCATAACAAGTACTTTCGAAAGTATTTCGGTCATTTTTTCGCTAAGGTCAATATTGAGGTCACTAGAGGTCATCATAGGTCAAATTTCAGTGTTTTCGGTGTTGCCGGACATATTCCGCTGTAGCTCGGAAACTAGAAGAGCTAGAGAGCCGCGGAAAAAAGCAATCGATAGCTCTTTTCAAGCTCTTTCGCCAAGGTTCGTCAGATTTGACCTCAGCTCAACGGTTTGGCCTACAGAGGTCATGCAAGGTCAACTTGGCAAATTTCGTTGAAAATGTTTTTAACTATAGCATGCATTCACGAGAAAATAGAGAAACGATTCATGCACCATCGTGCTTGGCTCGTCGAGACGCGTCGAATGATATATAGTTTGACCTCGAAAGGTCATTTTGAAAATTTGACCTCAGGTCAAGGTCATGACCTTACCGAAATAGGTCATGCTGCATATCATTCGATCCGCATTGACGAGACAAACACGATAAACGTCGAACGGAGTCTCTATCTCTATTCAATAACAAGTAAGTGCAGAAAAACCGCTGGTGACCTCTGGTGACCAGGGAGATGACCTAGCGTGACCTCAGCGAGGTCACAAGCAAATGGTTTCACATGGGCTGTGATTTGCTGACCCAAGACACTTCAATAACGAAATATAGGAACAATCACGCCCGATTTAGCTGAAAAACAACTACTTTTCGATTCTCCCATTGACTTATAATGGGGAGCAGCGATGACCTGACCTGACCTTAGGTCACATTTATAAAAAATCCGAGATAGCCATTTTGTAGAGCTGGGTGACA